AGGAACTTATTTTCTCTTTGAGGAGGAAAATGAAGGCAGAATCGAGGGGGGGCAGGGAGGGGGGCACCTTAATGAAATAATTGTAATCACTGACAGTGTGTGCCTACAAAGATGAAACATAATTGGAGTTGCTTGCGCATGTGTGTTTATTTGCTTGACATGGCCGCTTGACTTGCCGCCTCGCTAATTAAATATGTACTGTAACTTATTATTCATTCAGCACGAACACTGATTCAGTCTTTGAATTTCCTCACAGGGAAAGAGAGCAGTTCGCAATTTGCTTGGCGCTACAATTAGCAGCTTGTTAGCCTTGAAGGGAAAAACATTTGGCCTGTTCGTGAAAATAATACAAAACACTGTTGGAACTTTCAATTATATTAGAGCATTTAATATAGTGCATTTACTCTGACATTATTCAATTAGACCATAAAAACAAGTCACTAGAGAGCGCAGCTTTAGTCCACAAGCAAATGATTCAGATGAAAGTTCTTAGTAATCTGGAAGAAATGTTTGGGAGCATAGTGATGGTGTTTATGGATGATGACCGTATTTTCCGCACTATAAGGCACTTCCATGTATAAGGCGCTTCAATGAATGGCCTATTTTTGAACTGTTTTCATATTTAGGGCGCATCGCATTAGGAGGCGCATTGAATAGAAGCTACATTAGTGGTTGCGCTATGCATCCACTAGATGGAGCTACACTAAACGGAATACAATACAGCTTTATTTACATAGAGCGTTCACAACCGCTGCAGCTGTAACAAAACACTTTACAGAACATTTAAAATAGTACGTTCAAGAAATCAGATCCATCTATAAAGTGCGTTTGATTGTAGGCCGCACTGTCGGCTCTTGAGAAAATCGAATGCTTTTAGCTGTGCCTTACAGTGCGGAAAATACGGTCGTTGGGACGCCATTCATTGAAAACAAATATACCATTTCCTCAAAAAGATTCCTCTCGTTTTCATTCATAGTTTCATCAGGTGTAAAAATAAATAAATAAATAAATATGTAGGGTGTGTTTCACACACAGTGTTAACACCCGAGTTAATTTGAACCCTGTTGCTAACCAAAACGGCAGCACCCGCTGAGTTATAAGCACAGCTCCTCGGATGAATTCTGTGTGGAGTCCGCGTGCAGTAAACTGGTGCAGTATAAAAGATGATTGGAAATTTTGTGGTGGCGATATATCCGCATAGTTCCATAATCGTCAACTCCTGTGTTTTTACAAATACAATACCAGAGTGGCACCTCCATCCACATAATTCAATAACACCTACAAACTCAATATTGTGTAACAGACAACCTTCTCTCGGTGCCCATGACCTGACACATTATTGCCAAGGGGCTTCTCTTGACCTAAAAAAAAAGAACTCTTCCTATATCCACTTCGCTTGCGTGCGCAGTGTTATTGTTCCTCCTGATATTCTTCAGAACGAAACAACTCCCAATTCCAGCCGCCACACTGAATCCACGCCGCAGTAGCGGCCATTGATCCGACCCGAGAGAGGGTTTGTAGTCTCACTCGACTTCATCTGGAACGATGGAGCGGCATAGATAATCAAGACAGTGGCGGGTCAGGGGCACAGTGGAGGAAACGGAAGGGGGAAGGCTTACGAGGGAAGATTGTAGGAGAGGGGAGAGCGGAGAGTGTCACCCACTTTAATCCCCGGAACGAACTACGCAAATAAAAAGGAGAAGGATGCCAGGAGAGAGAGTGTGATAATAGGAGGAAACATGACGAAGATTAAAGACAAGGACAAAGAGTCATGAAATTGAGGCGGAGCTCCCCAAAAAATATCTTCCTGCATTCATGTGTGTTTATTGTGATGGAATACAAGTTCCCCCATCTTCGTCATTCATTTATTGCTGCGTTTGCGCTGGTGTCAACAAAACTGATCAGGTCCGAGTTTGACACCATGAAACAAATGAATTTTCCTTTCCAAGCAAGCAACCAAAGTCTCGCCTGCTATCGTTCACGTGTCGAAAATGAATGCGAAGAGCATGTGGGTCCAAATTCTTGTGTGTCGCTGCACAGTGTTTGGAAATAAATCCAAAAGTGATGTTTACACAAGTTGATTTGGACTATGACTGCATACAGTGGATATTTCTTTTTGTTTTGTTTTTTTGTATTTGTTTGTGTACGTCATTGCTGTCAACGTGAAACCCCAAAATACAGCCAATGTAATATTTTTTTTTCTGAAATCAAGACTAACGGTCAGTCCCACGCTGTGTTTTTTATCTTTCCTCAAAATTATTAACCAATCTGGAGTGAAATAGCCTGAGAGCAAATGAAAATTATTTCCTCCCTTCAACATTTACAGACGCTTCAACATTTATGATATTCTTGGGTCTCCTGGAGGCTCCTGAAGCCCCGCGGCATGATGTTGCCTCAAGATTGAGGGGAAATGAGGAGAAGCATTAAATGGATGGATGCCACCTGCATTGTCTACTTGAACAAAATAAAGACCTCATCTTGTTTTAATGTACATGAAGCCAATTCTCTCTTCTTGTTCTGAAGACGGTACTACCCCGATCCCCATCCCGTCCATGGAGTCCAGCTGATGAGAGTTGCCAAGCTGCAGCATTATTTGGAGCGCATTCAAGATGCTCTGAACACCTTCAAACAGGTCTGTATGTGACAACTGTAGATTTTGACCGTATTTATTCTCATACTTTAGTCACAGTTGGACGTTGCATTAAAAAAAAAAATCAGGAAAAAAAAATTCACCTGTGAAGGTGTGTAGCACGTTTTCGCAACATTTCGCCCAAAAGCTGACTATCCCGATCTTTTCGTGAGTAGTGCATTCACTGAGTTTATTTTGAATAAGACTGACAGAGTGTTGACTGATCTGTCCACCAGGCTTTCGAAATCCTCAAGATCACCCATGGTATTGATCACCCCTTGGTGGCTGATTTGTTGGTCAAGATGGAAGAGTGTCGCTTTGAGATGGATCAATAATTAAACTTGATTATATAATGTAGCATTCAAGTCGGCTGTAATACGTTTTGTCCCCCCCCCCCTTTTTTTTTTTTTTATTAACCCTTTCAGGGACAGCGGTTACTCGCGTGGACAGCTATTCACATTTTGTGTCTCTCATATTTATTACTCTTCGTGTCACAGTTGTGCATCAACCACTACAATGGACCCTGATGGGCATTGGCATCCACTGCACTTATTTTTTTTTCTCCATGCCTAAAGACTAATAAAAACATTTAAGAACAAAAATCTTGATCTCGGGTATCATTATTTGCTCATGAAAGAGTTAACAGCAGGCGATGTCATGAGCTGTCATGTTTTTGAAAGACCTGACCACAAATATACAGTTTGCGTGTGAGATTCTTGTCTCGTTTGTAATCTCTAGATTCCATTGTGGTGAGTCCGTCCGGCGCGTGTGTCTGTGTCTGCGTGTGTGTTTATAGCAAGGGCAGCCTCTCAAAACATCCATCCTCCCCTCGCCACATATCCATCACACACACTTCCTGTGGTAATCCCTGTTATTGTGGGTTATTCTGTCACTGTGTGTTAAAGATGAAGAGTGACTGCGATGGAATGTAGTAATGCTTCTCTCTCTCTCTCTCTCTCTCTCTCTCTCTCTCTCTCTCTCTTACACACACACACACACACACACACACATGGTTGCATGGTTGCCTCTTTGTAAAAAGGATGACAACATTTCCTCTGGGAGGGTAAAGTGTGTTTATGGGTTATGGGAGGATTACGGAGGCATTGTTTGCTTTTACACATAAAGGTTTTGCTTTTCGGACACTTTTCACTATCTACAGTATTTGGAAAAGACCAGTCAATTGGCCAACTGTGAATAACTGGCACTTTACCATAGTTGCTCATCTTGTTATTTATTTATTTTTGCACCAACAGTATCCTCAAATATAAAGCACAGAGTTGTCCCAATAAACTCCCATTTAGAAATGTTGAATGTCGTCGTACTCAGTTCAGATGAAGAATTCAACAAATAGAAAATCAAGCGCGCCTTCTAAAGTGTCTGGTTTATGGAACTCAGATGGAAAAAAATGGGTAAAAGTAATTTCAATCAAATTAAAGAACTCTCCTTTACTAAATGGTACTACTAGGAGTGGCTAATATGAGCTCAATATTTGAAGACATTTTGCGGTCATTGTAATATATAAAATAATACAGTAGAAATATTTTTACAGTTATTGGTGCTTGCAGGAAACATCATTTCCGAATGAGGATCACGTAAGAGTACATTATACCTACAACCCCCCCCCCCCCAAAAAAAATGTTGACAGTGTATTTTCATCGGATGGCATGACAGGATTGAATTGTACAGCAATGCGGCATCTTAAAACCCTGAACACCTGCTTGAAGGATTAAGTGTCACTTTCGATAATTAAAGCCCTCAAGGCTTGTTCAGGATCTGTGGACACCTGCAGTTGTCTTTTTTTAAATCTATTGAATGAAGAAATCTTTCACCGTACTTTAATAGTATAACACTTGGGGTAGTTCGTATGAAATGCTGATCCTAAAAACAGCCATGCAAAACAAACATCTCACTACAACATCGACCTCCTTGTCTCTTTTCAATGCTTGTTGTTTCCTTCAGTTACTCTTTCTCCCATCAATTGTCACAGACCATTAAATCAGATTTACTGTCATTACGATCACTGCCTGTCACCATCCTTCTTTCACTCGCCAACAACACTTCAAATTACATTCATATCCTCCCTTGGTCAAAACATTGCTCTGCAGAAAGAGCTCATAGAAAGCGATTTAACCCCTCTGTCATTGACAGCCTTCAGTCTGGGTATTAATGTCCGCATTGTTGCCCCACAAAAGGGATGTCCCCAAAATTAATAGGGTCTCTATGAAACTGGTAAAACAAGTTCATGCGCACACACGTACTTGAAGCACCAGACACCACCAACAAATGGAAACAAATTCAGTTGGTCTTCACATTAAAAACCATCATTCCCCCCCCCCCCCCAAAAAAAAATCTACCCACACTGTGCACCAAATTGGTTGAATACATTCCTTTATTTACATTCGGCCATCTTGTTTGTCCACCGACACGCTGTGTCAAAAAGACTCCAATCATGCACAGAGAATATCACATGCGTGCTTCAGAATTTTTCACACTGACCTCCACTCGTTATGACATTGTTGAATCGTCCCTTCTATAGATTGGCACTTATGACTGACAAAAAACATATTTTAACCAGAGATGGCTTTATTTGTCCCGGATTGTATTTTTGACGCAGATTTCAAAAATGTGCTTTTTTTTTTTCCTTGCACATGAGGTTTTTGAGATATTTTCAAATTTGATCTATGCATTTAATTTATAGCAATGACCTTTCAGAAAAAAAAACAACAAAAAACTTGCTGAACCTAACTCTTAATTTATAACTATTGTAATGCAAACCTGATGTGCTCGAGGAAAAAAAAAAACAAGGGCAGATTCAGAATCAGCGCAACGAACAAAATATCATATCTAAAAACGTTTGCTTGCATCTCTGGTTAAAATATTTAGCACACAGCTATTGAACAATGTAACCAGAGATTTGAGTTAACTTGATTTTTCAACAAAATGATCACTTCTAGTTGTCAATTCCGACATCCACAAACATCAAAAAGATATTTGGCCATGAACCGACTTTGAGGATGGGGTTTCCTTAACTGGAGTAAATACTGTTTCATATACTCAAATTCTTCAAAGCATTTTCCTCTTTTTTTTTTTTTTTTGTTTTGTTTTCAACTCTCAATATGGCCAAAAGAAATATAAGGTGGGCATATAATTGATATGTGCATAGTATATACAGTTGATCCTCCAATTATTCATACCTTGGACACATTTGAACTGAAAATGAAACCAGAATGTGATAGTCCATGTTTCCATCGTTTTTTGGTTCCCCCCCAACAGTTTGTTTTACCTTAGTGCACCATATGAAGTATTTTGACTTCTAGCCAATTTGGACTCATTTCTATTTATTTATTTATTTGCCGAAATGTATTAAAAGTGAGAGAGAATAGCATTTTTTTAATTACCTTTTACAGTTGGTTGTCTTTATTGTATAATTTTCAGCTAAAAAGATTCATCCTAACAGTAAGTATGACCAATGTAGGAATCATTTTGGGGCTGAAAAGCATATTTAGTATGTAGTATGTGTTTGGCAAAGTATATACAGTTATCTTTTTTTTTATCTTAAATGCATAGTAACCTTTAAACGTGGTAAGGCTTAAATAAATACACAATAGCTGAAATAAATAGACTTTGATCCACTATGAGAAAGAAAATAGGAAACATTCCGATGTTGCGCACTCTTGTGTATAAACACATCACAAGGCCAGTTTATCAAACATGCTTCAGCGTTTCGGCCGTTCCCAGGAGATTACCTCCTGTCTGCCTCCGCATGTGTAGATAAATGACTTTCACTTAGTCAGCCAGCCACGGAAAGGTCCAAAACCTCACACAGTTTATTTCCTGCTACCCGATGTTACCTTCTCTCCTCTCATTTGGCATCCATTGAACACTGAGAAATAAATCGCTCAGGAGAAGGACGAGGGTAGTAAAGTATCGAAGCTGCTATAGTGACGTAAAAGATTTTTTTTAAAGGTTATTTTTGACACAAATCACTCTTCCATAGATTTATATTTGTACAAACATTTAGAGCATAAACATCTCAAGCACCATCGAGAAGGATATCAAATCATGTAGAAGACACAGAAACCAGCAGAGATCACTGCCTCTGAATTTCATCTTTTTCCACCTCCCTTTAGATCGCATTCATTTCATTATATATTAATACGTGTCAGTATTTCTGTTTGCGGTGACAGGCAGAACTACACTGCCGCAACCTATCACCTTTTTGGCCATAATTCCTTCCTAGACAAAACCATGCCACTTTCTCCCATCGATAATGGCACTGTAGGAATGTAGTACTTATCTAACGGCGTTATTCAATTAAACGTAAGCTCTATTTTCCATGGCTAATAGCTCTTTCATGGCTTACCCCAATTTACTGCCTCCGAGGCTTTCACTAATTGCGAACATGACGTCTGTGCGAACGCTTCATGAGCGGAAGTGTTGCAGATCCATGACATAATGTCGGGAAAACTTCGCCGACGTGAGCGGTACCCGCGAAGACGCATCATATCCCCCCAAAGTCATACTGAATGCGGCTAGAATCTCTACATGGTCCCATTGCCTTTGGTTATTATAAAACACACATACACATACATTGACAAGTCACTGAGTGTCTTTACAAATAGAGCAGAACCAACACGGATACAAATAACAGACACGCGTCGATCGATGGATGCGCCGAGGGGAAAGAAACATTCCTGCGCTGCTTTGCGGACACGGAAAAGCCTTCACATCCTTACATCAGTTAGCAGCGTAGGAACGTTTGAGAGTAAAAAGTCAAGCATAAAACAACACCAAAATAAACAAGATTATTATTATTTTTTTTTAACATTGTGTGCTGACTTAAGTTCCATCACATATTTGGTCCCTTTTAAATGTATTTATAGTATAAATAACCTGATTCCGTTTAATTTGTTTCCTTTTATTTAGGTTATTTAATTGAGGTCTCTTGGCCAATGTAAACGTCCTGTAGAAGCAGGGTTCGAGTTAAGCGTTAGCTTGACAGGGTGGCACACAACAAACAACATCACTCTGTTAGGTTTGTAGAGCCCAGTTTTTAATATACATAGTACAGTGTTGCCTTCGGATCGGGGTTAACCGACTTCCGAATTTTTCGAGATACAAATTGGTGTTTGGATGTTTTTTTTTTTTTTTTTTGCATTAACTTGCTATCAAAAACTTTTGAGATGTGAGTACTGTATAGTGGGAGTGGCTCAGTTCACAACATGCAATAGCCTGGCAAAGTGAATAAATCCTCAGAAAAAGAGCTTTCACGCCGTTTAATGAACTCCCGATGAGTTTACTGTCAAACTAATCATAAACCACCACATGACTTTACCTCTAAGTCCACTAGCTTAATGCTAACACATAAAGGGCAATGTCATAATTATTATAACGCTTTAAAGAATGGCTATTTGAACACAAATGGTACAGCAACACATGTGGACAGATAGTAATACCCGCAGGCATATATTCTTTAATCTCTGCTAAAAATGATTATTTTCACTGCAGATAAGTGAGTCACTTACAGCAGCTGAGTGAAACTCTTTGTCGCACACACCAGAAGGATCCGCAATGAATTCATCGTAATTCTTCACATGCCATTTCTGGTTTAATTATATGTTTTCACAAAGTAAAGGCATGATATTTTCTTCATTCAGAAACGTTTTTTTCATGGCATTTCTATTCACGACAATAAGGAAAGATAATTTGAGATAGCAGTGTTTTGAGTGGCAAACATGCTCATGTATGAAGTCAATTCATCTCTCAAGGCAACACTATTCTACCTTTGGAGTTTGCAGTCAGCTGGGTTAGGCTCCAGCTCACCCGTGACCATAATGAAGACGAGTGCCATAGAAAATAGATGGATAGATCGTAATAGACCCCCACAGATGGATGAATTTACTTTCTGGGCCTCGGCTCCCGCATAACTTGAACCCTGCCCATTAGGATTTTGACCGTATATGGAAATAGTGACCCACAGTTGTGTCATATTTCCAGACTGCAATGAATCCATCAAAGATACTCATCTTTTTGTATGTTTTACTATGTTAGCACCGAACTGTATGTACTGTTGTTATTATTGAAATGTTATCAAGGCACTTTTTCTCATCCAGTTGATTTGTCCTTTTTACTCTGACCTGCTCTTGGTCTTTTTTAATGACTGCACAACGGGGCATGCCGTGAGCCCCGGATTCCTGTTTCCTACTTGTTTCAGCTCCGTATATAAGATGCTATAAAATCAACAAAAAAAGAGCAATGGCAGTATGGGTCCTTTGCCACCAGTTGGTTGTTTGAAAGCTTCCTCGTAAACTGCTTGTTCAGCTCTTCTGTCCTTCCAGATGAACAGACAGGCTCACTCCAATGGCCGTTTAGCTATCTCAGTACATCTCGAATTGATTCATCCATCACCAGTCCTGCTTACCTTCAAGTGGAGACGGAGTGGGGGTTATTGGATCAGTTCATCACAAGAACCCCCCGACCCCCTTTTATTTATTTTTTTTATATTCCAGCCAAGAAGCATTTATTTGGGAGCAGTTTTTATATTGACAGAAAAAGTGTTGCACCATCCCGCTGCGCAGCTACCGATGTCTGGATGACACGTCGAAGCAAGTGATCATCATCAGGTGAGCTTTGCAGAAGTTCACTCTATTCTCCAGTTTGTCCGTCACCGTCTCCAGAGCTTCCAAATACTCCAGTGAGTCCACCTCGTACACCTGCTGGAGCTCGACTGAATGAGAAGAGAAGCGAAAACATCGTCAAGCTTCTGGTTCAAAGGTAATTTGTGAAAAAAGTGACTGAGTAAATTACCAAACATTAGCCTACAAACAAGTACAGATTTGGTCATTAGTGACTGGAGGTGAAAGTTTTTCGACTGGCCTAATTTATCTCCAGTTTGAACCAGATAGAGTCCGCAATTATCCTGCGAAAGAGTTTTTCGTGTTGTCAGTGAGTCACATGCTTGAAATATTTATTGCTAAATATCTGGGGCTCTACATTATTTTATGTTTGAAGTTCATTTGAGTTAGCTGCCACAGCTTAGCACCTACATCAAAACATTTTGCACCAACTCAAGATAAAAAAAAAAAAAAAAAAAAAAAAATCTAATCTTGAAAAACACACAATTCGGGTCACAAAGCTGGACTATTGATCTCTTGCATCATATTCATTTCCTGATTTCCAACATGTTTTCTCAGACCATATATGGTTGTGGATATACATGGTATCTGGGGATTTCTGCCATGTAATAATAATATTTTTTGTACTGAATTGAAATTCTATGAATGTTCCTGTTGGGATGAATGTCATTCTTCCACCGACTTCTTGGCGAGATGACGACTGACTCGAACTCCTTCAACAAATAAGTGCAAAATGTTGCTTCGTGGTAAATTAAGTTGACACCAGATGAGTGTTAAATCATCCGCAAGATTTTCATTTACATCAAACCAATCAGCGATCCTCACTGAGTGTTTCATCATAGCATTAAGTGCTACTTTGTATTCATTCAGTGACATCAGTGGAGGCCACTGCTTGTTTTTTGGGGGTTTTTTTGCCCCACTTCATCTTTGTAATGAGGCTTTTATGCACTTTAACCCAACTGTAATGTCCCTCTTGATGCGCTTGCACTGAGACTCTTCTGGCCGAGTCCGATGACGTTCCTGCATTCCCATCCTCATTCATCCGAGGAAAAGCAGCACATCCAGTTTGTGAGCCCTGACGTTGTTGCCCTAACAATGAACCCTCAAGCAAAGTCACACAGAGTGCCACATTCATCACGTCTCCATGCGTACGAGATCGACTCAAAGCTTCTCCGCCGAGTTGTCACCATGACGTTAGCTATTGAGGATGCTGAGGCAAGTTCATTATCACAATTTACAGTAGATAACGTCCTCGGAACCACTGTGCCATTGTGTCAATGAATGGCATAGACTTTACCGGTTTCAGTTTAAAACGATGTCGTTTACGTACACTCGGCGGTCCATGTGTGAGGCTCCAGCATCAGGTGCTGTTTGGTCTGTTCCAGCTCTTTCTTCAAGCACTGGTATTTGGCTCGCACCTCGCTGATGCGCTGCTGACGGTGCTCCAGCAGGCGAAGCTTGCCATTGACGTACACCGCCCCCTGACACACACATGGCTACAAAGTGAGTGCGCGATCTATTGAGTACTCACACGCTTGCATACAATCGCACTTCACAGACTCCTCTCTATGAGCTCTGCTGGCTACCGAGGGACACTGAACTCAAGTTTAAGTAATTCCCTGAATAAAAGGACAAGAATTTCATGCTTTTATATTCCGTCAAACATCACCGTGCCATCATTTCGCATCAGATTAATTTATGGCAGTCCAACCCTAAAGCAGAAATTGCATTTGGCATCCAATGTGTGACATTTGCTTAAAAATGTGAATACTTTCAAACACTGTGCTTTGATTTAATTAATTCCTCATCAATAATTAAAGTCTGTCATACTAAATAAGTATCTGTGTGTTGTATATTCTGGCTATAAATGAGTTTGGTCCAGTGATTCTCAATTATTTTTGTTAACCCCCCAGAAAAAGGAAATATTTTATGATTCACCCCCCCACCCCCCAACACTCCTCTGCAACTATATATAGTGTCATTTATCTACGAAATTGTTGTAATCACACCTCCACCTCTGCAGAGGAGCTAATACTACTTGTGAACTCTGACAATGATAGAGCCAATGCCACCTACGGTAATAGAGGTGCAATTTCATTTCTAATATGTCAAAAAAAAACTGCTGGGGGTGCGTTGTTTGGAAGGACCACAATGTGTGGAGTGAAAAAAAAGAAACACAGCACACTGCCATCAAAACCCTCATCCCAACTGTGAACTATGGTGCAGGGAGCATCATGGATTGGGAGCACTTTGTTACTTCAGACACTGGACCAGGACAGAGTTCCTAAAATGTTTTGCCGAAGACTTCAAGACGATCTGAAGCTTAACTGAAGAGGGTGAATCACCAGCAGATGGTCGAAGTAAATCTACAGCTGAAGGGCTTCAACAGAAGAACACGTGCTCTCTGGAATGGTCTAGTCACGAGTCCTGACCTCAACCTGACTGAGATGATGTGGCATGACCTTCACATCGTAATGTTGCTGAATAATTTTATTACAATGTGCAGTTAAAACAGCAGTAAACACCCACAAATATTGACGTCTGCCACTCAGGGTAATACTAAAATATTTGTCTGTATCGAACTTTGGTCCCCACCTTGTCCCTCCTCTTCTGCAGGCGCTCAACATCATCAATCTCGTACACCTTGATCTCAAAGGCCTCCGCCACGGCTCCCGGACCTCGTGGGTTTGCAGAGGCGTGCGGCCCCAGCGGACCATCCACCCAGTATGCACCTGGGCTGGAGGAGGAGGAAGAAGAGGACGTGGCTGCCTGTTTGACGGTGCGGTGAGGAGATGTGGAGGAGTCCAAGGTCAGTGCCGGAATCAGCCGACGACGCTGGAGACCTAAAAATGTTATAATTGAGAAACGGTTTTATACAGTGTTACAGACATAGAGGCTATGACCAGTATGTTTTTGTGTATAAAGTACGCATAAATTAAGTGTGATTTTTAGATTGTATTTGTAATGTAGCAAGTCTGCCTTGCAGTAAGATCAAATCACAAATTACTGTTCGTCAGGTTATTATAGTTAACGAAAACCAACACAATAACTAAACCTGAAAAAAAAAAAAAAAAAACATTTTCGCTCATGATCTTCACGCGAATAACTACCTGTTTTTGTTCCCCCAATGTTAGATTTTCGGTTGAAATAACTCTCCAAAATCCGATGCAGATATCGCAAACATGCCTGTCTGAAAGAGGCAATCAGATTCTGATTCCGATTCTGACGATGGCAAAAAAAAAAGTTAGACAGTACGTTCTTTGCATGATGACATATTAAAAAACTCCTACTAAAACGAACATAACGAAAGTGAAACTAAAACACATTTTTCAAAATAAAATTGCTTTAAAACAAAGTGAATTAAAAAATAAAAGTGAAAATGAAATAAAATTAATTACAATGAAAAATCTTAAACTATTTTAACCCTGGCTGGAATTGATCCCATTTTTTGGTCAGTAGCTGGGTATACCCTGCACTGTTCACAAGCAAATCACTGAGCACAAATACACAAACTGCCATTCACGGATTTGGGTTGATATCCATTTTATTTATTTATTTTTTTAAAGCTGCTGTCTAAGTGTGGCAAAGAAAGGTCAAGAAGAAATATTTGACTTCATTATGTAGTAGGAAGCAGCGACATAGAATTAGGCTCTCGCTGGTGAAAAGGTAGGACAGTGGAGGGGACACGGAATAAAAATTGGAATGATAAGTGGATCTAATTTCAGTGCAAGTGAGCTCCTGGCGGGAAAAGTGAATGGCATTTGCTGGATCGTGCTCATATTGCATCTCTACTACAGCTCACTTCTGCTACTGGCTTGATGTCAGAGCACACTTTTTTGGATACTGAGAAAGCCTTCAAAAATGCAAGCAAATCTAGACTTGGCACCGCTTGGCAGGAGGCAATTCTGCACCCCACTAGCATGCAGAAAAGGTTATTCCAATTTAAATTAATAATCAGACGCCAGACGCACACTGAGTTCAAAAGTGAGTTGATGCACATATCCATCGTCATGCTCAAGCAATAGTGTGTGATTTGGCAGCCATATTAAGGCTCCTGCGTAATGTACTAGTGAATGTAGATTCATTATAGCCAGCAGCAGCAGTTCCCCTCTATCATTTCACACATGGTTGGTCGAGGTCACCTTTCCTACCTGACTCCTTGTGCAAGCACATTCCTTGCACACGCACGCATACGCGCGCACACACACACACACACACACACACACACACACACACACACACCTTTTTATTTCTAGTTTCAGTGTAGCTCTAATACTTTGTGTAACCGTCAACTTTACAATTGGCCCTTTTGTATACAATACAGTAGAATTGAATAGGGAAGTCTTATGGATTGTTTTCAGACCATTCGGTGATTTATGCTCAGTGAGAGAAACTTGCATGTAAGGAAATGGCTTTGACATTGTGACCGAATTTTTCATAATTTTTCTTTTGTTGGCTGTAATTTATGGCAGCAAAGCCCTGCATGCAATGGTAAGCCAGTCCCTCCCCAATTGCCCATTCAATTAATCATGAATACTGAATCAATAAAAAGGTAATAAGGGGAAGTGTAGTAGGAAGCAGCGACATAGAATTAGGCTCTCGCTGGTGAAAAGGTAGGACAGTGGAGGGGACACGGAATAAAAATTGGAATGATAAGTGGATCTAATTTCAGTGCAAGTGAGCTCCTGGCGGGAAAAGTGAATGGCATTTGCTGGATCGTGCTCATATTGCATCTCTACTACAGCTCACTTCTGCTACTGGCTTGATGTCAGAGCACACTTTTTTGGATACTGAGAAAGCCTTCAAAAATGCAAGCAAATCTAGACTTGGCACCGCTTGGCAGGAGGCAATTCTGCACCCCACTAGCATGCAGAAAAGGTTATTCCAATTTAAATTAATAATCAGACGCCAGACGCACACTGAGTTCAAAAGTGAGTTGATGCACATATCCATCGTCATGCTCAAGCAATAGTGTGTGATTTGGCAGCCATATTAAGGCTCCTGCGTAATGTACTAGTGAATGTAGATTCATTATAGCCAGCAGCAGCAGTTCCCCTCTATCATTTCACACATGGTTGGTCGAGGTCACCTTTCCTACCTGACTCCTTGTGCAAGCACATTCCTTGCACACGCACGCATACGCGCGCACACACACACACACACACACACACACACACACACACACACACACACACACACACACACACACACACACCTTTTTATTTCTAGTTTCAGTGTAGCTCTAATACTTTGTGTAACCGTCAACTTTACAATTGGCCCTTTTGTATACAATACAGTAGAATTGAATAGGGAAGTCTTATGGATTGTTTTCAGACCATTCGGTGATTTATGCTCAGTGAGAGAAACTTGCATGTAAGGAAATGGCTTTGACATTGTGACCGAATTTTTCATAATTTTTCTTTTGTTGGCTGTAATTTATGGCAGCAAAGCCCTGCATGCAATGGTAAGCCAGTCCCTCCCCAATTGCCCATTCAATTAATCATGAATACTGAATCAATAAAAAGGTAATAAGGGGAAGTAACTGGAGGGTTGCTGAAAAATGGCCGACCTTTAGAAAGTGCAATTGGTCATAATAACATTATCGCATGTAGGAAAACTAAAACCCAAGGCTGCACATTTGCTCACCGTGAAATTTCATTTCCATTTTATTTCATTTTATTTATGTATTTTCACAATCCTGAAAAAAACTAGTCAAACACCTCACCTCCTAAATGTCCAGTGTTGCTCCTGCTCTTCTTGTTGCTCTTGGAGCTGCGTCTGGAGGAGGTGGTGGCCGAGCTGTGCTCACTGAGCGAGTCTTGAGCCGAGGAAGTACTTCCTGTGTTCTCGCTGCTGTCTCTTAGCATGCTCTCGTAGCCGCTGCTGCCTCCGCTGTGGTAGAACAAGGCCGTCTTACCCATGGCCGGAGGCAGTTCACCACTCAGGACACTGCTGGTAGACGCCAAAATAAGGTATTGTTTAGAAAATAGTATTTAGGGAAAGATAAAAAGTTGGCCTTACCAACGAGACATCTTAGGTTACAACAAAAGCTGAAGTACCGAATGGATCAAAGGATTTTACCGAAAAAGCTGTATTAAAGGTTGCCTTCGATGACACCTCTCCAAATACCTGTTGTCGCTGGCATGGCCACTGCTGCAGCGATGCGGTTTTCGTGGAGCAGTGATCTTGCTGTAGGGAGAGGGAAGGCTTTGGACCGCTGATGTCCTTTCCTCCCCTGGCCCTCCTCCAGGAACACCTCCTGCTACCAGTGCCCCTCCACTGCGATGTAACAACACATTGTTAAAGGTCCATCTATTGCTACTCAAGAGAAAATCTTTTGATAGGTTAAAACTGGCCAACCTTGTCCCTCCAACTACTTTCTCCTCTGCTGAATCTGCACCCCCTGCATGGGCATGATTCCTGGAACGTGAACCTCCACTTCCTTGGAGAAGCTCTGAGATACGGCCATTAACAGCCCGCAGGGGCAGCTTGGCAGCCAAACTTCCCCCTCGACTGCGGCTCAGAGACTGCGTAGACCAGGATGCAGGAGAGGGTCCCTGCTGCTGCACAGGGCCCTGAATGGTGCTTTGTGGCTGTGGAAGCAGACACAAAGCTGAGGACAAAGATTGAGGGTATTTCATAGGCGACAGGCATCGATCTGAATTTATAAACTACAGTGCTACCTTGACTTACTTGAGTTTAATTCATTTCGTGACCGAGCTTAGAACTCAAATTACTTGCATTTTAAATTATTTGGATAAAATGTGATAATGATTTCATGACCGGCACGCAAAAAGCACCATAAGTGATGTCCGGGACCTCCCCAGTTAGTCTGCATGCGGGCATTTGGAGATTTTGCCTTCTGCAGTTTCTTGTGTTTTCAATTTGTCTGAGTATGTTTGACTGTTTGTCCTGTTCAGTAAACGTCTGATTCTGGTGTCCGTTTTTTTTTTTTTTTCTTTTCATGTAACTCAAGCAGCAGCATGTCTGAAGCTCGGTTGTGACGTAAATTTTGGCTCACAACCCAAAGCAGAACAAGTGACCAAGCGATGGTCTCAAAACTTGTGAAGTGAGGCAATCGGAAGTCATGGTATCACTGTATTGGTGCAATCTCGATACAAATTAAATCATACTTTTCCATTTGGGGGAAGGCTTGAGCTTCTACTGGAGGCTTGGCTCAGAGACTTCGTAGAAAAGCTGAGAGTCTTGGTGCTGGAGGCAGACAGACTCCTGGATTTGGGACTACTGCTCATCAGCAGCTTACTGACAGCTGAGATCTTTGACTGACCGCTTGATTTGGCAGGCGACTGCGGGGCACTGCTCGGACCAGAACTACCTCCAAAGCCGTTTCCGGCACGAGTGAGACTGCGACCGGTACGGGGTATGGAGCCATCTCCCTTCGATCCTCCCCCTCGGAGGCTTTCAGCCCTTTCCAGGGAGAAGCAGTCATAGTGGTGCGATCCACTGTGGGCTCGGCCAAGAGAGTTAGTTCTGCTTGCAAGTTGCTCCAGCTTAGCGCTAAAGAGTCTACCACTGTCTATACTGGAGACATGTTGTCTCATGGCACATGGTTCATCTGTAGAGCTGCCCGGCATTGAGACCTCATGGATGGGCTGGTGTAGTGGACTGGCTGCCCTGTTACGTAGGTCAAGGCTGGATTTGCGTACAGGTGGCAAAGGCGGGATCCCACTCTTCTTGTGGGAGAAAAAGCCTAGTTTTCCAGTTGATCCCCGGCGGTCAAGTGTGGCACGCGGACTGCAGGGTGTTGAAGAGGTGGTACCAAAATTCTTGTACTCAGTTGTGTTATCTAAGCCGTCATGGCGGTTCAGACGATGCCAGGCACGAGGGAGACTGGCGGTTCGGTGGATTTCTGGGTTGTAGGTATCAGCCAGACATTCTCTTTGAGCAACACCAGTGACCATCTCACAACCATCCACCACTCTCTTGAAGGAGTCTGGAGATGATACCACCTCTCCGCTTGAACTCGACCCACCATGTTCTTCAACTGTAGACAAAAGAATTGAAAGCAATTATGCCAATTGTAATCAACTTTTCACAGACAATCTGGAATTGTTAACGTGATTAAGAATCAGAAAAGACCTCGACCAAGGTCGAACTGAAATTTTTATGGCGTTTTTGATTTTTGGTTGAAAGTTAACAGGCTATTTCTTGTTTCTTGAAGGATGGCACAAGACATTGTGACTCGACGCAGAGTACCATTTCTGGGATGGACATTACTGATCACGCCTTATTTTGAGTAGTCTTGCTAACTAATCAACCTGCTAATAAAGTTTAAACGAAACAAAACCTCTCATTTTGTGCTTGGGAGATGCAAAAGAAATAGCTATTTTCTTACCATCCCTGCACAAATTCTCAAGGTTCCCAATTCCAGCAGTTTCAGTCCTCTGCCCTGATTGGCTCTTTGAATGCTCCGCATCAGTCTTCTTCACTGGCCTGACTTCCTCATTGGGCCTCGCATCCTCCAGTACACGCACCAGCCAAGGGTCCTCAAAGTTCATCTCACTGGAAATGGAAGCCAACTGCTGTGTGTTGAATTTTGTTGGTGAGGAGCAGAGAGTAGGTTCCTGCATGGCCATCTGTTTGATAGCTACACAGGAGTGAGTACTGATGGGGGTCTTGAAGGTAGAGTGGTTCCCAAGTGCTGTCAAAGACTGGATGGTCGATTTAGCCATAGATGGAGGCATTTTTCTCAAACTGTCCTTGGTTTGCGTTCCCTTCGCCCCTCTGTTCTCTGACATTACTCCATCTAAACTCCCTCTTCTAAAACATCCACTGCTTCCATTATCTCCTGACCCATCTAGTCCCAAGGAAATTAGGTTGTGTTCAGCCAAGGCTTCCCCTTGATGACTTTGGGACTGGCTGAAACTGTGAAGTGAGTGATCACCCTCACTGCACCCACTCAGATCACTCATCCAGGAGGCGATAGGGGTCATCACCGAGGCTATCGTATCCCCCTCCATGTGCAGCTTGGCCATTGTCACCTGTGGAACAATTTAATTGACAAGAATAAAGAACCTTACTCCGTGGTCAGAACAGTTTGTGTCCCAGTATAAAAAGCAGACACATGCCCAAAAACGAGAAGTTCTGGCAGCAATGGGATGACTGCCTCCATATTTATTTTAACAACTTTTCACTAGGTGTCTGTCAAACTAAATATCAAACATCGTGTGTCAAGCACACTCACCTCTGCCATGGCGACAACCTCTGTAACCGCAGAGCTTGTTGCAATCGCATGAAAGCTCTCTGCAGCTCCATCCTCAACGGGACTCGTGAGAACTCCACAGGGCTGGGCGTCCACAGAGTAGCAGTCACTATTGAAGCTGATAATGCTCGGTGGGCGACAGGTCAGACGCTGTGTCATCATGAGAGCTGTGTCATCGAGTGCCTCCTCTTCTCCTGCAGCCCCTGTGTATACTGATAGCTCGTCACACAGCAAGTGATGTCCAGCTAGTCCTGCAGTGGTCAAGTGTGTATCATTTCAGACCTCAAGACCCTTCAGTTGTTGAAGCAGAGAAGTATTTCACTCACCATCCCGATGTGTATCCAAGGGTATCGGAGGGACGTCATCATCACAGAGTGTTTCTGCGGAGCCCAAGCTGGTAGACAGGGATGGAGTTGGATCTTTGACTTGTGGACTCATACCAACAGGAGATGTTCTGGAGAGTGGACACTCTGTGGAGGAACGACCGCTGTCTGCAGCCAAGCTGTCTGCAAACATATTGATATCATTTATTAATATGCCCCATTGATCGGCAAGTATTTTTTTTTTTACTACTCCTCCAATCCCAGTTGACTTGGGGCGAGAGGCAGTGTCCACCCTGGACTCATCACCAGCCAGTTGATGACTTAAGAAAGACTCTGGACTTTTTAATATGTGAATTTTCTTCCAATCAAGCGAATAAAAATACAATCAGGAGATATGTAGAAAGACATACTGTCAGAGGTCAAGGCTTCTGTTGCTTGTCCCTCCTGAGCCAAAGTGTGTGAAGCCAGTGGGGATGTTGCTGGTATCACTCCCTTCTGAGTGTACACTTTACACCGCTGAGACGGCGAGGATGGAGGCCTGGTGACACCCAGAAGTTTGACTGCATTTTTATTTGTAAGTACACATGCAAGTACAAGGAGCATCACAGAAAACTGAATACAAGATTATTACGTGATTAAAACTGTACTTCATTTTATTATTGATATTGAACTTCACCTGTATTCTGAGGTTTTCGTCAGGCTGGCGATTCCAAGGCGTGGGGATCCCAGTGGTCGTGTCTTCCCCTCAGTGTTAACTCCCATGGTCAGATTTTCACGGCTGTCCAGATGAGATATTCTTATTTTCAAAATACGTTCAAAATAGGTTCAAAATACCTTCAGAAATTTGATTGTGCACACCTCAAATGAGATCAAGTATAACCCTTTGATCAACATGATAATGTTCAATTTTGGTTGCAACTGTAACTACATTTTGGTTAATTTTGCTTTACTATTGTGGTTGTAGTTTGAACTGCATTCTGTGAAATGTTTTTCATAATTTTCTTGATGGGAAGTCCCAATGTAATGACTCAATCTTGTCTCACTTGTCATGCTGGAGTGAGGCCTTGGACCTGTGAAGGGGGTTTGATGCATTGCTTCCTGCCACATTCCTACTGCCAGACACGAAGCTGGACCCGGAACTCTGAGCCAGACTGTGGATAATGGTCTGAGCCAGCTCCGCCTCCTCCACCACCTCCTTGATATCTTGCAGCTGCTCTTCATTGGTCTTCCTTCTAGAATGTTCTGTCGAGGATGAAGTGAGCTGGACTGGACCTCCTGGGGGAGTAATGTTTCACTTACTTTGGTAATGAAATTCATATTGTTGGTGACAGATTGTTTACACACAGAGAAAACAAAGACGCCAATGGCACTCTATGTTATTTTAATGTAAAGTAATTCACCTGTTTTGGCCTCTATGTCCAATGTAGCAACAGAGGAATTCTCAGCGGGAGTGACTGAATCCTCAGAAGGGAAACGTGGATCTTTGGATCCTTGTTTACAGACCAGAACCTCCTCAAAGGGAAACTTTGCCACCTGAACAGAATGAATGACAAAGAACATTCCGGGCTCTATTTTCATTCCGTGTGCAAGGCTAGCATAAAGCGCAGTCTAACTGTAGGCATGGGTGGAATTTTATTTCTTTTGATGGTTTGTTAGCCTGACACAGTGGAGATGGTGCAGCTTGGATTTGGCATAGTTGGCTTCAGTGCTGCCCAGCACAGCTTATGGGAAAACATCATTCAGTGGTACCTCTACTTACGAACGTCTCTTCGTCTAAAATTTTCAACAGGAAAATATTGCCTCTTGTTACGAAAGAAATTTCAAGATACGAAAGGTAAAAATACAGTTTGGGCTGCTACTCGCAGCTCTGAGTTTCCTGAACGCAAAATACTTATAGCTGCTCTGCCATTGGCAATTACCCAGAATCATCCTGGTATCCCATTGGCTAAGACGGACCTCTACTCTACGTGTCTGTGTGTAGATAGATAGATATGTGTCGATGAAGCGTCCTCATCATTCGCCCATGAGGTGTTACGATAGTTTTACGTAAATGTCAATCACCCAGAAAAAGTATTCACTAGTTGGGCGATCACACACAATGCTGATGTTTGCCTTGGACATTTTCGAAGGATCGTTAAAAGCCGACAAAAGCATGGATTGGTCCTTTACAAAACCCCAAGGAAAAACCACTTCTGAGAGAGGACATGAACTAAAAGGGGGCAAAAAAACCCAGTGAGGACTAAGTTAAAAGTTAAATGGCCATCATTTTTATTCTTTACTCTATTCTTTGTTTTTTACATTATGCACAACTCTCATTTATTGTGCAAAAATCTAATTGTAACATGTATTTGTTACATATTTTGATGCATTTTTATGCTTTATAAAACATTTACCGGTATGTCTGAATTTTGGGGGTCTTGGAACGGATTAGGGCATTTACATGGAAAACGCGTCTCTACTTACAAAATTTTCTAGGTAAGAAATTTCTTCCGGAGCCAATTAATTTTGTAAGTAGAGGTACCACTGTATTAACCCTCAAAAGGCACACAACTCATAAGGTTTCCTACAATACAGAATCTCCAAATGTTTTGTCACTCGATTGTTCATAAGCAGGTTAATGTCTCAGTATTATGATGGTGCGCTTCACCTCCTCGCTGCCATCAATGCAGTCCAGTCTCTCCTGCAGCTCAGCAAAGGTGTTGCATTTTAGGCACTCGGCCCCCTCCTCAGGCACAGGAGCCAAAGGTTGTCCTAGTATCGACTGAGCCTGAGATGGTCCACCGTGCTGGTCTTGGCTCTCAGGCTCGGGCTGCACCTGCTGAAGCAGAACTTGAGGAATCAATCGTCAAATCATTTATGTCGGATTGTGACCCAAACGTCGTTTACCTTCTGGACCGCCTGACTTTGTAGCGTCTCTGATTTTGCTCGCAGCAGGGCGGGAATTATCGGCACAAACTCCGGCGGACCCTCGTTGTCTGTCAACTCTCGATCTGACACAGCGGCCCCGTTGGGACCCACGTAGATGACGGTGTCGCATGACTGCTCGCTACTTGAGTATTGTTCGTCCTGGTCGCTGGACAGGCGCAGCAAAGGGAGGTCTGAGTTGGGGTCGCCGCGGTGATGGAAAGGCCGCAAATGGGTTGGCCGACGCATGCGGCCTTCTTCGCAGGAGCTCTCTCCTCCAGAGGAGCTGGAGGTGTACTGCTGAGGACAGATGACGATGACAGGAAGACAGAAAATTCTATTTTTCGACGAGGTGTTATATTCAATTTGCACTTCATAGGAGAGTGACAAAGAAAGAATGAACAAATCTATTTTTAACTGTCTTCATCCAAGAAACGGATATAAATATCTCATCTGTGTTGCAGCCTTATAGATCATTTGATCACCCCCGTTTTGGGAAGAGAGAATATTGTTTATTCTAATGACAGCAATTGGATTTTGTGTTCATTTTTAGACAAAAGAATACTTTTAAATTGACTTTTCTTTTATTGAGTCACTCAAAAGTTTTGGAGATGGGAGCAGTGTTATTTTATGTTAAGACAAAGTCATTTAAAAATACTTTTTTTTCTCCATCTGAGTGCACCGACACTAAAAGTTACATAAACTTCCTATTTCAACATTTTCATGGCCACTTGTTGCTTAGCAGTCTTCATGGGACTTCTGCCTAGCAACACGTCTCTCTCCAAGCCCATTTTAAAATAAACTTTTCCCTTTTTGAATTATGCTGTGTCATTATTCACTTGGAGCCAGAGGGCTTCCCTGCCCCGTACAGCACAGAACGAACACCGTTCTGCTTCTTGCACCACAGGGCCAGCAGCTAGGTGTGGTGGCGCACCGCTCCAGTTCAGTTCCCTTTGAAATGTAATGAATGAGGCAAATGTTTTATTTAGACTCACCACGGTGACCTTAGTTTTTTTCTTCTTCATGCGTAGGACGCGGGATGCGATCTGGATGGTGGAGAGGCTTTCCGAAAAATCCGCCGGCGAGGCCGAGATGTGAGCGATCATGGTGGTGCGGCAGTTCATGTTGCCTAGCGACTCCCTCAGCAACATGGTCAGCTTGCTGTCCCTTGTGACCGACACACACGACAGTATTGTACACGGTATACGTTGATGAGGTCATTCGAAGGGTTATTCATAGCATGACTGATAAAACCTGTAAACATTTTGAAGTGGTAGATTATGCGAATAGATTAAGAGTTGAGAGGCAGAACAGATTAGAGAGGCAAACTTCATGCTAATCATTCTGTTCTATTTTTGGATTAGTACGAGCAAGCACAAAGGTTTTAAGAGAAGCGTTGCAGATATTAGGCAGACTAATATTAGAAGTTTATCTTTGTCTTTTTTTCAGAGATTAAATTTGCAGACTGGAGCCTGAGAGTGTGCTTATCAAAAAAAGTGTCTTACTGAGGCCCTACATGCCGTTTTTTTGTGGATACAATACATGTGCCGTGACCATACTGTAGATCTCCTGCCGCTATTCCCCCTTAAAAAAACAATCACACATCTTGCAGTCGTATCTCTTGAAAACAGGTTTGCATTCAAACACATTAGTCTTGACCTCTTCTCTTTACTCCTTCTTACTGCCTCAGGGTTCAACTAATGCTTCTCTCTCCCTCTCAGAGACAAGAGAGAGCAACAGAGAGTGGCGAAACTAAATTCGCAAGCATTTATTAAAGATTTACAAAACAGTTCAGTCTCGTTTTAATACTTGTACTGTCATTTCACCACACGATGCCTTCTTGGAGAGTGATGTGCTGTGAGTGATCATCCGGCTGTGCAATGTGCGCAGTGAGCCACTGCAAGCAATGACAAGCAATGACAAGGTAGACTTGTCATGAACTTGAGAAACAATGGCCATTAACCCTTAAGAGACATATTTGTGCCATTCTGTGTTGTGTACATGCTCATTATAAATCTTGATTTTATTTATGATTTTAAAATATATATTATTATTATAATTATTATTTTTTTGTTTGTGGTGTTTTTTTTTTGTTGTTTTTTTTTACAATTGTCACCTGTATTCATTAAAAGACCATATAGCCAAGCTACACGTGGCTTCCTGTCAAACATGGCCAAAGCCTCACCAAACGCATTTAATAATGAATTGCTATCAAGTAATCCGACACTATAGCCTTGAAGTGACATGCTCTCACTTGAGTCTTGTGGAGTCTAAATCCCAATCCCGCATTAGCTCCAGCCACCAAATTACGACTCCAACTTCAGTGATCTTATTTGACCATGTAAATGTAAGTGCTGGTGATTTAATTATCCCACCACGGCGCACACAGCCACATAGCCTCAAGAAGAAGGCAGGAAGGAAGGTAGAACAAGGACACGGAATAAAAGGAAAGGTAGACAGAGAGATTTGCATAGTGTACAACCGCTAATTTATACTGAAAAAATGTTTGCTTTTTTTTTCTCTCTCTCTCTTGCCATTTGTCCTCTGCCTTTTGTTCTCTTCAACTATTTATCTTTCTAGTGCCTTGCAGCTCTCATCACCAAACCACAGTGATGAATATGCAACAGCAGGTGTTGTTTCTGACATTGACTCCCTAAAACCTTGGGAGACAAAAAAAAAAGCCACTTTCTTTATTCCACTACGGCTCTCTAAAATCTGTTAACCTTGTGCAAGGTACTCACTGAAATACCTAAATGCTTCGGGACGAGACAATAATTGGACGACTTTTTTTTTTCTTTCAAACGTGGCCAACATAAATGTTAAAAGACTCAAGACCATAATTACGATTGCACTTTTAACTATATTTCCTTCATTCATTAACATCTGTTTTTATCCATTTTCTATTGTGCTTATCCTCATTATGGTTGCAGGTGACTTCCACATTGAAGCTTACTTGTATGGGATGTGCTTGCTCCCGTTGACCAGGGCCAGGATCACGTTGCCGAGAGCTGACAGGGAAAGGCAAAGAGGTGCCGAGCTGGGCGAAGAATTTTCCCTGCCTTTCCCCACCGCCCCGCCCTCGAGGACACCGACATCGCAGCTGCCCAGGTCCAACAGATGGAGGCGACTGCGACCTCCCGACACTTGCAAGGTGGCAATAATTCAATGAAGTGTTTAGGGGACGTGCAGGGGAATGTTAAACAAACATCTGAAAACAAGAGAGCTGTTTTGCAGCGTATTTTAGATTTGATTCTTGAGAACTCACTTCCTCCCTTGCCTGTCTTCTCCATGCGGTACTGGTAAATATGCAATGTAAACAGCATGTGCGAATTCCTGTGGTCTTCTTCGGTGGTGTCGTGATGTTGACTGCTGTGGCGGGCCGCGATGGCCGCGTCCAGGAACCAGGCTGCCTTCTCTGGCGTCGGAGCACGCAGTTCGGACTGGTTCTGGAGCTGTGGTGAGGACGGGAAAAGAGCGAATGGGGATTTAAGAAGACAGACAGTCCGACAAGAGGAGAGGGTAAAATATTAATGTTGCGATGTACGCCACCCAGCAGGCGCTTGTATGATTGCCATATTCAATTAACACTTTCTTAATGTGTGGGTGTGTGTGAGTGTGTGCGCTTGCTTTACTGTGGGGTATCATTACTGATGAGATTATGTCAGATTAGTGAGGGATTTCACAGCTGTGCTTGTATCACACCTCCTAATCCCATAACCATATAACATCAAACGAACACAGTTTTCATTTGTTCGGCACTGTCATTGGACCGGCCAGGGCTGCACTGCCATCTTTCAGAGCACGAAATTATTAGGTTGGGGGATGGGGGGGTCAGGTTGTGGGCGTCCTAATTTCAGACAACACGTCTGGTACATGTCGGAGCGTTCCTTCACATTGCTTTTCCCTCGCTCAAAAGATTTGACACCACCTTCCTATTGATGTTGTTTGCTCAACCAAAACAGGATGTGGTTATGACTGCTGGGTTTTCGTGAATTAGACATTGTTCAGATTGAGGCTCATTTGCATAGAGGTGTTTTTTTACCTGCATGCCACAGATGGGGTCCTCGCACAGGTAGACGCCAGGTGACTGTCCATCCTGCAAGCTGCCAGTGGCCACCTCTGAGAGTAAATCCTTCAGGTTCTCGTCTTTGCCCCAAACCTTTCACAAGAGCGCCCATATCAACAAACAGTAAAGTTATGTCCAGTATCATGACACATTTCACTGTAATTCACGAAAGGCAGTTTCCACTGTTTTTAGTGAAACCTGGCCAAATTTGGATAGTTTGGTCCTAAAAATGCCAACAAAAGTGTCTTTTGACATGTACGTTTGTGAAGGGTTTTTTTTCTCTTTTTATCACTTCCATGTCAACGCTGAAAACAATTGTCCCACTCTTCTTTGTCGAGTGGGAATGCAAGACATGAAATTCTAAAAGTAGTCAGTGTGCATGTTTGTAGTGTTCCTTATATCATCTCGCAAAACCCAAAGGAACAACTTGTCTCTTTCTGACAAGGAAGACTCAAGCTTTCTTTGAAAAATGGCACACTTTGCCTTCCCTTCCAAATTAACACCCAGCAGTGTGTCTCGCGCCGCCATTTTGGTTCTGTGCCCCCGCAGCTGGTACCCCAGTGGAAAGGAGCCCAAACATGCTGACATGGACCGGGGCAACGCTTACCTCAACTGCGGACACACGGACAGAGAAGCGCGCCCCTGTTTTCTCCCTCCTCTCATTGATGAGCTTAAAGAGCCAGGAGATGGCACAGGGGATGATACCTAACGTCTGCAGGGAGTCGTGGCGGCCAATCATGGTGTAAGATTTGCCTGCGTCAGACAGACAGGCAGACAGTGTGTGAAATTCAGTGTGGATGAAGTGTGTGTTTTCCCCTTGGCCACACGCACACACACACACACACACACCTGCTGTGGCTGTGAGGAGATCGGAATCCACAAAAATATGTGAGACGCCCTAATGAAGACTTATAAGGACATGAGCAGCCCGTCGTGTGTGTAATTTGTTCTGCGACCCGGTAGAGGATCAAGTGCTTGTCAGCAACGCTCTGAATTCACAATATTCTCTCTTTCCTCCTCCACCGCAAGGTTTCCTCCACCATTGAGACTCACTGTCACAGCAGAATTTTATCTGTCACGCAGAGACGAGTGTGATGCCAATGATTTTGTGTGAGGAGACGAGGTTAATGAAGAATATAAAAAGGCAAATCGGGGCAGATTCTCTACTCGTAAAACGGTACAATCTATTTTTTTTTTTTTTAAATATATCACGTCACCAGACATATGAATCAAGTTCTTGTCCGTGTGCGTCAAGTCACTAATATCGATAGTTGATATTGATTCTCCCCTCGCGGTCTCTCACCCTTCGAAAAGACAAATTATTACACCTGTTCAAAAAAAGTGAGACAGTTCAATACACACGTGACATTTCATTTCGAATATTCATTAACTGCATGTTGTCTATAGTTTGACATTCGCGCCACTTAGCGCGTCTGCCAGCTTTACAGCCGCCACGGGTTCATATTCGGCCCTGGCCTCCGCATGTCGAGTTTTACATGTTCTCCCCGTGCCTATGTGAGTTTTCTCTCAATTAGTCCACTACAGACATTGCCATCATTTCTGCAAGTAGGAATTAGTTGCATTCCTGAAGGTCCTCCAATGAATTCAGTCGCATTTGGACTTGGAGACATTTCTCTATGTTCGTCGAAAACTTTACTTTATGAAAGCAGACTGAGAGCCAGCGTGTGTCCACAGCCAAGAGCCACAGAGCCCATTGTAAATGCTCAGTGTGTTACTTTCCCTATTTTAATTAGTGAAAAAGTTAATGCCTTTGTAATGCAGCCTCATTACTATGGATGGCCGTAGGGGGACTACACCAGCGCACATCTGTTGTTACAGCCATTCCAACTCAGGAGGTCGGCACGGCGCAATATCACCTCGTAGAACGGTAATATTGATTGAAAGAGCAAAGCCTACTGCTGTTTGATGGATTCACCCACGAAATAAAACGACTCGCTCGCCATTTATCAAGTAACAATTGAGAAGTGACAAGCATAAGACCGTGTCTGGGCCCCTTGCACATAATGTCTTAACACGGCAGGGGTTGACCCAAGGTTGTCCATCGTCCATATTTATATTCTCGTACAGTGATTCTCAAAGTGCACTAGTGGTCATCTCTGTAGTGGGACATGAAAGAATCACATGCATGTTATTTGCGACATGTTTTAGTCTGTAGTGAGAGGTCCCGACCCTTTCAAGATTGCGTTCAGGAGGATTAGGAAGACTGAGACAGACTAGGCCCAAAAAGACACACTAATCCTCTGCTTTCTCGCGCTGATCGATGAGGGCCAGTCGAGGCGCGCTGTATTTTCTCTTGCACATCTGTGCATGCGTTCATGCGCATGCGTGCATGCCTATGTGTGTGTCTTACCCAACTTGGAGTGCCCAAAACAGAAGACACATCCGTCTGCTCCATTCACGACCGACTGAATCACCTCGGCAACCGTTCCTGCGCACACTTCCGCCTAGCAACAGGTAAGGCAGGACAGTCACGAAGAACCAATTAGAGCTGACGTCAACAGACTGACAAAACCCAATGTGCGGTTAGCATTCAACACTCTCATGTTGCTACGGAGACAAGAGATGGATGGATGGATGGACGGATGGATGGATAAAAATAGATAAGGCTGATGAATGATAAATATATAAATTCATGTAGATGGACAGACAACAACAGATGATAGATGGATCACAAGACAGATGCACAGATGGATAGAAGAATATGGATAGAAGTGTATGATGGGTGGCAGGTTGAGGTACCGATGAGTCGGGCCACCCACTGACCTGCGACGCATCAGGAGGGAAGGCGGCGTCAAAGGTAAACATCTTGGGAGGGACCTGGCTGGACCCCACTCTCTTTTGAGAGGCGATGCTTGGTGTCTGATTGGTTGAAGGGTCCATGATGGTGATCTGTTTCTTTCTCGGGTCGACTTTGAGGAAGGAACTGGACTCCGCCAGGTTGGACTGAGACGCCGGACACACACGCACCATCACTTTCACCTGAGGGCCACCAAGAAGAAATGTCACAAGGTATTAATCTTGGAAAAGTATTCTGTGGATACACTCACTCGCCACATTATTAGGTACCCTTGCACAATTCAATGAACGACACACTCGTATTTTTACCAAGATCAGCCACACTGTATGAGCATCTCTTGGACATTCTCATGTATTCGAAAGAAATCACTATGAGATTATAGTTTGAGTTCCATTTAAATAGTTTATTGACTAAGGAGAATATGAAGATAAATTCTGAAGCTGTATGCAAACAATTGGTTGTCATGAACAACTACAAATATAATATATTCCATCAGTTTTCGTCACGCCCCCTCGCCCCTTTCCGACTGGTCTTGAACTGTCAAAATCATATTTTAGCAGTTTTTCCATTCCACCCACTCCCATCAGAACCTTCGCAGCCTCAATTTAAGTGGTTGACAGCTGCCATTGTTTGCTTTGACAGCTGAGCGTGCAACATGCTGCGTCATCACTTCGGATCACTCGCAATATTACACAAATGCAATCCACTCTTTTTTTTTTTTATGTGGAAACGCATTTGTTTCATCTTGAAATATACTCAAAGATGGCAAAAGAAAAGAAAATATATGGTGAATATGGTGGGTGTAATATTGACGCATTGCCATCCTCCTCTGGTTTTATTGGAAATATTCATTATTTATAAACATCTTGACAAGTGGGCCTCTGTGATTATACTGCCTATGATTTATTGTAAGTTTTTCATTTTCATGATTATTTGTCAAAGGAAACAATAATATCAATGTTTTCTTTTGTTTAAAGAGAGACGTGAACACAACTGAATCCAAATGTAAGTAGACGGAACATGCGGAGCTTCTTTGGAACGGAGCATGGTGAGTTTTCTTTTTAAGTCACGATATATGATTATATTGTTAGAAAATAGGGTGTCTTTATCAGACAGCATAACAGGCAATATGAAGGATAACCAGTGATACGAAGAAGGGACTCAAGTTCTTACATAGTGGGGAACAGGGGACTCATGCCAGACACGTGTGTAACACCGTGCTGTTTTAGCCACGCCCACAAAAAAAAAACCCTGAAAAGCTGTTTAATGCTATATTTCAACTGTTAGGGACGACATAGCTGTCAGTCTTTAGAAAAGTAAAGTATCTTTAAACATGTATAAAAAAATTTGTGAATTGACTTAATGGGGTCTTTAAGATAATAGATTCTTCATCGATAGATGGGTGGACAGATCGACAATTTGACCTCACCTGCAAACATAACAAATATTAACAATAACACTAGTCAGCAGCAAATTTTAATCAGAGGTGGCTTTATGTGCTCCTTAACGTATTGTTGACGCTGATTTCAAAAATGTCGTTTTTTTTTTCCTAGCACATAAGGTTTGAGAGATATTTTCATTTTTTTGTTTTTAAGTTTGACTTACAGATGCTTGCGCAGTAAGGATTTTACTGTGCATTGTAAATCAGAGCGATGACGTTTCAGGAAACAAGCCCACCTGTTGCTGAACCTAACACTTAATTCATAAATACAGTACATATATAAATATATTACCATGTTACATATTATTATTTTTATTATTATTTTGGCGAAACCCCTATAAGCTAGAGAAAAAAATGAGGGCAGATTCAGAATCAGCGCAAAAAAAGTAACGTTTACTTGCATGACTGACTAAAAAATAAATTGTAAATATTTGTTGGCCAGTGTAATCAATCATTTTGAATCATTGGTTTCATTCAGTTTAAGTGGAATAAAATACCAAGAAAATTTGAAAAAACAATATGGGATGGAATCAATAGCGTCACTTCAAACCAAGTAGTGCACTCCATGTTGCTTCAATAGCTTCAAAACATGATGAATCAACAATCATTTCCACACAGAATGGCTAATGATCAATTAATCAACCATTATGCCCATGGCTACCTTCTATGAATACAAAACAACTTTTTATTCATTTTGAATGCACAATTTCACAAACGAGGGACAAAAACAATAAGGGAGCCGAACAAGGTCACGCTTTACTGAGCAACCCCATCTTAAATGACAACCTGGTTATGAAGTGTAAAAGCATAAAAGCTTCTCTGGTGCCTGCTATCTCATATAAAAATATATTATGCATCCCATATTGTTGAAAGGATGATATAAAATCCAAAGAGGTCCTAGCACACAGTGCGTCGCTGTTTATGTGCGCATTCATCTCTCGCTTTCTCACTCACATCTAATAACACATTAACAGGCTTTCCTTTGGTTGCATCATTAAATGACCACGGGCCATTTAAGAGAGCTGGTCCAATAAACTCTGTGTGTGTGTGTGTGTGTGTGTGTTTGGGTCTCGCTCACATGAAAATAATTATCAATTTAAATACAATGCTTCACACTCACATGTGAAACAATAAATATACAACTCTGGTGACTCAGGTGAACTGAGCAGAGGCAGCGCCAGGTCAACACTTTGCATGTCT